TTCAAATAATGCATCTCATAATCTTTTACTGCAGTCATAATCTTTTACTGCAGTTATATCTAATCAAATGCACATTATTATTCGTTAGTTTGGGTTAAACAAATCATTTTTGCTTGGTTGGAACAGCAGCTACGTTAATTACCGTATTGGCCCGAATATAAGACGACCCTGATTATAAGACGACCCCTCCCCCCCCTTTTTCCAGATGTACCTTTTGGAAAAAGGCTTTTTAATAACCAAATCTTGTTTTTTCTCAGTCTTGTTTTTTGTCTTCAATTATTTTCATATTGCATATTTTTCCTATCTTAATTTTTGTTTTAAAAGTATGGTAAAACTGGTAAAATCATGGTCAACAATCACATTTAAAAAATATACACTTTTTGATATACCATTAAAAAAGCGTTTTTTCAGATGTATTTCCAAGAAAAAAACATCGTCTTATATTCGGGTCAATACGGTATGTCTCTATTTGTTTCTCTGTTTCTGCCACAGGATTGACATCCCGCGATAACTAGGATTTACACAAGCTTCAGTCTGGATCCAGAACACCTGAGAAGAGATGATGCCAACCCCTCAGAGGACCTCAGATGATGCCAACCCTGAAACAACATACAGAACTACCAAACTTTGCTATAAGTTTGATTGCATCATATAATAATTGCTGATAATAGTGTTCATAATCTGTTTGATTACGTCTTTAATTGATTTTTCCGTACATTTCTGCCATATGTACATTTACTGACAAAGTCACCACTGATAAGCTACCACTAAATATTGTAGAAACATGTACTATACAGCTGCTTTGCAACGATTTGTATCGTGAACAGACAGACAGACAGACAGACAGATAGATAGATAGATAGATAGATAGATAGATAGATAGATAGATAGATAGATAGATAGATAGATAGATAGATAGATAGATAGATAGATAGATAGATAATCTTTTGTCTTTATGTCAAAGAAAAAAACAGAATAGGACACAAGGCACCAGTCTCACACTCCCAAATGTCAAACCCGTGCAAACAAAGAGTTTGAGTAATTTTCTCATTCTATCATCCCACACTAATCATCCCCCTCTCCCTCCCATTTTCTGTGACTTCCTATCAGGACCAACTAAACCCAAGCCGCTAAACCAATGGCATTAATAAATCTCCAAAACGACGGCTCTCTCCTCCTCTCATCCTTTATCTTTCCCCATGCAACCATTACTCCCACCGCATTCTGCTTCCAGTTCGCGGCTCCAGGGCCTCCGTAGAAGACGCTGAACGGAGGAAAAGAGGGGGAAAATGAGGGAATGTGAAGAGGAGAGAACAAACAAAAGGGTGGAATATATCAAAGAACGCGAGTGCCAAGACGACTGTTTCTCTCCATCCATCTGTCGCTTCCTTCCCTTGTTCCTTTAGTTAGTTCTGTTCTTTTATTAATGTTGTGTCTGTTTGGGATGAGCCATGTCCTCATGATACCAAAGGCAGCTGTGTTTACCTGGATTTGGTTTGTTGATACGGTCCGCAGGGTCAGGTTTGGGAGATTTGGCTGGCAGACCATATGGACCTTCGGACACATGATTGAGAAACCGTTTAGTAATTTTAATGGTTCAGTCAATGTGCACACAGCATAACAAAAACAAATATGCTACTGTATCACAACCGTGTAAGTGATGAACTGTGATTTAAATGCAACTTTGCCATCACAGGAATAAATTACATTTTAAAATATATCAAAACAGTAAATAGTTATTTTAAATTTTACAAATATTTCACAATATTACTGTTTTTGCTACATTTTTTATCAAATAAATGCATACAAGACTTCTTTTAAAAACATTTAAAAATCTTAATTATTCCAAAATTTTGACCAGTAGTGGATATATAAACTCAATCAGCAAGTTGATACTAATTAATATGCAGATATGTTTACCAATCATCAAAAAACACATCTGCATAAGTCTTAAAGGCACAGTAGCAAAAACAGCCTGTTTAATTAAGTTTAAGGTCAGACAGAGGGTGCAAAAGGTCCTGTAAATATCAACTGCAACTTTAAGGAACAGAATAAAGCGAAAAAGTGTAGAATATGGTTCCTTTAAGATGTTTCACACCATAATGTTGTTTTTGAGGGGCTACTGCTGAGGTTACAAACACTTTAGACAGCAGATAGACATTTCATTTCACACACACACACACACACACACACACAGTCATCTCTGAGCTTATGGCGAGCTGTCACACTTGTCAAAATGCCATGACAGTCTGTGTGTGCGTGGAGGCACATATCAGATATCTCCAACCGAAACAGCTTTTATTTAGATGACAAACAAAACAGACATGACCTTTCAGCCATGAAGCAGATAACAACTACAGTGAGAGAGACCGAAAGGGATTTTAAAAAAGTGTAGAATATGGTTCCTTTAAGATGTTTCACACCATAATGTTGTTTTTGAGGGGCTACTGCTGAGGTTACAAACACTTTAGACAGCAGATAGACATTTCATTTCACACACACACACACACACACACACACAGTCATCTCTGAGCTTATGGGGAGCTGTCACACTTGTCAAAATGCCATGACAGTCTGTGTGTGCGTGGAGGCACATATCAGATATCTCCAACCGAAACAGCTTTTATTTAGATGACAAACAAAACAGACATGACCTTTCAGCCATGAAGCAGATAACAACTACAGTGAGAGAGACCGAAAGGGATTTTTAAGAAAAGTCAATAAATGTTGTGAAAAAAATCTAATTCATAGCCAAAGATGGAGGCTGAAAAAAAACAGGTAAATAAAAACAAAATGTTTCATAGTCGTTTTTGCTGTGTTAATCCTCTCTTATTCAACAGTGTAGTGTGATAGGCATGACTGATAAATAACTCCAAACGCACAACAGTCACGAGTGTTTGTGGTGTACTGTTACGGCTCAGGGACTTGTGTCCACAGTCTGTTGGGATTCACTTACCGCTGTTTTCCTGAGTTTAATGAAAACTAACAAGGGGCCGACAGAGTTTGTGTTTGCGTGTAAACAAAAGCTATTGGTCATGAGCGTGGTCATGTGTGCCACTCAGAGAAACGTTTTACTGAGCCTAAGTTTCTGCTAATCCAGCATCCGTAACTGTTTCAGGTGACCAACCCTCTGGCTTTGTCTGCCGATATGCTCCCAAGAGTGTGTGTGCATGTGTGTTACTCACTCTGTCCCACTTTCAGCACCACCTTCATGCCCTGTGTAGCACAAACTCCTCCTCTCATGCTCTCCAGCCCCTGACGCGTCCCATCTGATGTAGCTGTGAGAGAAAAGAAGAGATTTACTAATTATTATATCATACACACAACAAATAATCAACAGCAATGCAAAAAAGTACTTCTTAATTGGTTTAATTACTGTTTTATGACTTGTTTTCCAGTATAAAAAAGATGAATATACTTGAAAAGCAACACTGCATGACACATTAACCTATTTTTTTCATATAGGCCTATTATATTTTGAGTGTATTTTGGTATTTTTACAAGTGTCATTTTGTTTTACTGCACTGGCAGATTATTTTCACTTTTTTTTTTTACATGAAAAAATCTTGTTTTAAACATTCTTAAGTCTTAATATCTTATGCAGTGTTGCTTCTCAGTACATTTTTCTCATTTCAAGACAACCATACGTAGCATACTTAAACAGAAGAATACTGAAAAAGATGAATACTGCTTACTATTGAAAAAAAGTATGAAACAATATGAAGTACGGTATTCAATATCTTCAATGCATTCAATGTTTTATGCTGAAAAATTCAAAAGCTTAATTTAGCAAGTGTCATCCTGCTGATACTTTGGAAATTAATGGGTTATGTCTTTACTTTTATTTTTAATTCAAAATGTTATTCTTAATACAAGTTTGTGTAAAAATGTCTATACTTTTGGCAGCCTTATCAAATAATGAGTCTAGACAGATGTTAATAACAGTGATTTGTCACTATCAACATAAAAGTTCAAGTTAATAGCATTGCATTGTGGGATACAGTATCTCACATGTACTTTGGTTTTATAATGCACATTTTTGCAAATTGTCATCTGGGTTTTTATGCACAAAGAAAATGTACTCATTGTGAACAGCATACATACTGCAAGCTACAAAAAAAGTGTAATATGGTGTCACAAACAGACTCACAGACAGATCTGATACCGTAGCAATAATAGTTCCTACTGACACACAGTCATTCTGCACAGATACTTGATCTAATGTAGATTAACATACACAAATGTCACTTTGCATCATGGTGCAGCTCTAATGAGGCCTAATATCCGGTCCCAGAGGAGGTAATTTAGCATCCTAAAACGCTTCAAACTGCATCCATCACTCACACACACAAACTTGCTTAATCCAGGACTCCTCCAAAACAATGATATTGATAATGATATTGGGGAGCTTCATGGACCTAAGTGGGCCAGCGATGGCCGCTCCTGATATGAAGTGGGCAACAGGTGGACATCATGTGGGATGCATGTGAGTTGAGGCCGACGGCTGGTTACATGTGGGCCAGATGCACGGGCCAAAGACAGGATAGGACAGCTTGTCCTTGGTAATAAGGTATGGCCGTCTTAAATGAGAGAGAGAGAGACAGAAAGAAAGAGAGAGAAATAATGATTTGATGTAAGTGAGAGTGCCAGATCTTATTTACTGAGGGTGGAATGAGAGAGAGAGAAAGAACTGAAATGGAGGACAGACAAACCGCTGTACCTCACTTGTGTAATATATTATCCAGTCTTTCAAAGCCTCTAGATTCTGATTCCTTCATTTAGTTTAAATCTATCACTCTCTGCCAGTCTCACATGGACCTTTTAAACGTTTTTGTGCATTTCAGAAAAAAATACCCCTGGGCTGCAGAATAACATTCCTACCAATGACCCATGGAGACCTTCACACCTTCATCTCTCCCTCACTCATGCTCTCAGCCTCACTGAAGGACTGAACAGTGTGTTCGGACAGGGGCATAAAAAATACAGACAGACAGACATACAGATAGACAGATAGATAGATAGATAGATAGATAGATAGATAGATAGATAGATAGATAGAACATACATAAAAATGGATAGATAGATAGATAGATAGATAGAACATAAAAATGGATAGATAGATAGATAGATAGATAGATAGATAGATAGATAGATAGATAGATAGATAGATAGATAGATAGATAGATAGATAGATAGATAGATAGATAGATAGATAGATAGATAGATAGATAGATAGATAGATAGATAGATAGATAGATAGATAGATAGATAGATAGATAGATAGATAGATAGATAGATAGATAGATAGATCATACATAAAAATGGATATAGATAGATAGATAGATAGATAGATAGATAGATAGATAGATAGATAGATAGATAGATAGATAGATAGATAGATAGATAGATAGATAGATAGATAGATAGATAGATAGAGAAGGATACAGGGAAGAGCAGGAAGGTCAAAGTTAGCTGTAACCCTAAAACTGAGATATTCTGAGACACTTTGTGAGATGGAAAGAAAAGAGAGAGAGACGGGGAGAGAGGGAGACACTGATGGTCTCTGACAAGCTGTTGCTGATGTGATTGAGAAGAGAGATGATAGGAGGTGATGGAAAGACCAAATGTGTGAGCAGACGGCCGAAAAAAAAGTGTAAGGAAGAATGGAAAGAGAGAGAGGGAGGGAGTCTGATGATAAGTATGAATATGGCTCTTCCCTATAAGCCGAAGTACTGAAAGGTCTTGGGGCAGAAAAAAAAGAAAAGGGGAGAAACAAAAGACAAGCAAGAACAATACAGTTTATTGTAAGTAGCAAAGCTGTAGCTGCGGCTCTCCTTTAAAGATAAATGGGAGGCAGAGAGACAAACAAAGAGGAAGAGAGAGATGAAGTAAAAATGGGATGAGAGACTGGTGGAAACACAAGGAATAGAGAGGGAGAGAGAAAGAATAAAGGAAGGACAGGATGAGTAATTGAGACAATGATCAGCAGTGATGGGGGGATGAGGAGAGATGGAGGACGGAGTGGCAGAGGAACACCATTCTCCAAGTCCCATATAACAGGAACAGAAAGAAACGAAGGGCAGAAGTCATGAAGAAACATTGCAGTCATTTGTTCTTAATCACTATGCATATGTTATTCACCTCAGTGTGTGTATTTCTCCAGGATCAGAAAAAAAAACTTGAGTAAAGACAGGAGCTGCTGCATGTCACAAAGATTCAAGAGAGAAGAACTGATAAAAAGAATGAAGTGTAAAGGCCAGAAGAGCGATTTAGTGAACAAAACAACAAACAAATGAAGTCGAGGAGGTTGTGTGTGAGTGTGAGTGTGATTGTGAGAGAGAGTGTGCATCTCCCACGCACGTGTTTATGTAAAGGGGCTCTAGGATGCCTCTTGTTGCACTAACGATGGTGATAAAGCGCAAGTCAGTCAGACGTGTGTGTTATGTGTGGGCGTTATCCCATGGCTTTTATTGTGGAAGCACATTTGTGTGTGAGTGTGTTTATGAGAATTACAGACAGTGATAGAGTGCATATTTAATGTATTTGTGTAGCATGCATGTTAGATATATTTTCATGACAGACTGCAAATAATCATGAATATTCAAATTTTGTCTGTTAATGGAATATTGTGGGATATTTATAACCTGTCAATTACCATAGACAACCATTTTAATTCTCAGAGTATATATACAAACATGTATCTTTGGGTCATCATTTAATCACCCTTGTGTCATTACATAAATGCAAAAAAAAAACTGTGCAAGACAAAAGTAGATGTTTAGCAGAGTCCAAATAGTGAAAGTGAATGGTGACCAGTGGCTGTCAAGCTCCAAAAATGACAAGCATCATAAATGTGTATGTCTTCTGAATTCATAGTTTTGTGTGTGGTTTTGTGTGTGTGGAATATATAAACATTGTATTTGTTAATTGCAGCAAATCTAGTGTTATTATCATTAACTAAAACCATTAAAAATAGTCTTCATTTGATTTTATAAATATATATAAATAAATAAATAAATAAATAGAGATTATGCTTTTTAGAAATATATAAAAAAACAACAACACAAATTTATAAAAAAAAATAAAAAAGCTAATTCAAAATATTAACAATGTAAAAATAATTCTAAAATAACACTTGAAATCTCATTTACATTCATGTAGTCAACTATGGTGCATCAAGACGTCTTGCATGAGCTTTGACGTCAATGAAAGGTTATCATGTGTCATATAATGATTTTGAATATGCAAATGTTCCAATCACACTAATTTGAGAGTGGCAGAGGGTACGATTTTCCCTGAATACTTAAATTAGAATCACAGTGTTTAGAACAACATCAGTGACAGTAACTCAATCTCAATTTTTATGTTTGGGAAAATTATCCTTTTCAGAAAATTCCAGCTTCACATTTCTGTTTTCAAACCCTCTGGCCCATTTGCCTGCTACGCTTCCATTCAAAATGCATATATAAACAGACTAAAAGCATGTTTTCTCTTTGTTACAGACTGAGGAACAGGTCAAAGTTAATGTTCTATGTGATCGGCAACATTCCACACATGCTCTTCATAGACAATGAGTTGTAAATAACCCACAATATTTCATTAAAAGTGCCCAGATCTCAAAACACATAAATTATTAAGCTGCAAATCATGCAGTGTGAGAGTGTGAAATACGATGTTTTTTCTTCTTCTTCAGCACAGTACTGAACCAGGAGAGAATTGCACTGCTGTCCTCAGCCAACTATTCCCACCTTTGGCACACACTTCTTATTTCCTGAAACTAAATAAGACTCAATAAATCAGCAGCAACACATTCGTATGGTTGATTTAAACCATTAACGAAGCCTTCATAAGCAATTAAGAGAGTGCTGACAGCTAAAAAGAGAGAAGGACGGAAGAATTCACCAAAAAAAAAGACACCACGTAAGACTCACCGCCGGCATGAAATCATAATGTTTTCCATTAACTTTAAAAGCAGGAGAATGTTCTTACGAGGTACAATTTATGCCGTTATCTATTTATGAGGGAAAATGGCTGCTGATTTCGAAAAGGATGCAGATTTTGATGGCACTTCTCTTAATGTTTCCTTAAAGGGGTCATATGATGCAATTTCATTTTTTCCTTTCTCTTTGGAGTGTTACAAGCTCTTGGTGCATAAAGAAGATCTGTAAATTTGCAAAGACTAAAGTCTCAAATCCAAAGAGATATTCTTTATAAAAGTTAAGAGTCAGCCACACCTACCTAAAACGGCTCGTTTGAACACGCCCCCACATATCTACCT